ATGAGTCTGGGTTTAAATCTAGCTCTGCCTGATGTCAAGGCCCATGCTGTACATAGTTACCCTGAACTGCTTTCATGTCTTGGAGAGAATTCCTGCCTTTACCTCCCTCAGTGCCTGCTGTAGAGTCTTTACTGTTGCATTAAGGTCGAGAGGACTGAGCATGTGAGGCTGCCCTAATTGGGTAGTATCAGGCAGGGCACAGTTGACTTAATCTTAGTGATTCTCTGAGGCTGTGGTACAAGAGCAAGCCTGCATTCCCCTCCAAAGCACCTAGGGGTAGGGCATTGCCCACATCCTATGCCTTCACCCAAAGACATGGACAAGCGGGCGTGTGGAGCGTTGGTGGTAGGGGTGAGCCATCTGACATGTGTTTCAGATCCCAGGGAATCCTGACAAGTACAGGTGGCCATATGAAATGAAAGTTCTTGTCAATATGTTAATGACAGTGTGTTTGAAGGTCTAGTAGCCCAATTCAAACTAGCTTAAGCAAAAAAAAAAAAAAAAAAAAAGTGTGGTTCATATAACGGAAACCCCAGGATCTACTGGACACTGGGCTTCAGGCCTGTTTGCATCTAGGTGCTAAAACATCACTAGAAGTCTGTCTTTAGCCAACTCTTGGCTCTGCTTTTTCCTTTGTTGTCTTTATTCTTAGACAAGGTCATTTTGGTTTTTCTCATCAACTCTGGGCCTCATTCTAATAGTTTGACAGCAAGGTGAGAAGAGAGGACCTTTCTCTCAATAATTCCAGCAAAAGTCCCAGGGTTAACTCTCATTTGACTCTGTTTGGGTGACAGGCTGATCCCTAAACTAATCACTGTGGCAGGAGATTGGAATGTCCTAATTGGCTACATTGTGTTGCAGGATCTGGGATTGGGATAAACCCCACTTGAATGACCAGGACTGAGATTGGTGGTGAAAATCATTTTAGCTTCAAAGTGGAGTGAGGGGTGTGGTAAAGGGGGAGGCGAGTAAAACTAACAGAGAGCCATTATACGGATTTTCTGGTTCTGGTGAAGGGAATAAGAGGGAAGCTAACAAGGATTTCTAAAGGGAAAAATGGCAAGCACAACCTGGGACTGTGGCATACCAGCAAGGGCTGGGCATGGAGACAGTAGTCATCATGTCTTCACATACCCATCCTGGTTCTAGACATAGGCCCCACTTTCTCCTGAGTCTGTCTCAAGAGAGTGGAGGAACTAGAGAGAGCAGGTGGAAGGGCAAATGGCAGCCAGCTCTTCCAAGCCAGGCCTATGGCAAATAGACTGCATGTCAGAGTTGCGAGAGGGGCCCCCCTGCTTCCTAAGCAGCCGGATTGTGAGACATTTGCAAAGATGTTAACCCCACATAAAAAGTGTGCCATTTGATAATTATGTAAATTAGCTGGCAATTAGATAATGTCACTCACTTTCCTGCTAGATTCCCACATAACAGATGAGCGTTTGCACTTCTGCACCAGCCCAGGCCCTCCGTGTAGGCTCTGGGGTAAACCACCCGTACACCTACAGCTGCCTGGGCTATCCTATGGCTCAAGAGAGGGTGGAAGCTGGCTGACTGGGTGGAGAGGGCTCTCTGCTCCCATTTTCCCATTTCTTGAGCCTTGTGTAGCTCTGCTAGAAGGCTAGAGAAGGCTAGAGAATAAATGCTGGGGCAGTTGGCTCAAGGCCTGTGCTATTCAATATAAGGTCATCTTTAGCTTTTGGCCATATTGGCAGTTTCTCAGAGGTCATGGGAATGTCCACAATCCAAGAAAGCAATGGAAGGGCAGACCATAGGGTGTCAAGTCTAGATAAACCTAATTCTGATGTTACCAGTCCTGAAATCAGATTCTGCCTGGCACCTGCAGGAAAGAAAACTTGGTTTTCCTCAGCCAGCCTTTTTGATCCCCATTGATGCAGGCAGGAGAACATTGGTATCTCCAGGGCTGGTCTGGGCTGGAGGGAAAGACTGTGAGACACTCAGCAGGCAGGATGGAGCCGACACCCCAGAACAGGCTGGGAAAATTCCCATGATCCTCCTTAGAGGGGAGTGTTCCTGGGATGCTTAGTTCTTCATTCATAGGTTTCCTCAGATCACTAGGCTTGTGCAGCTTTGCCTTTTTGGGTCGTCTGAGGTTGGCATCCAGAGAAGTGTGGGGACTCAGGATTGCTGTTGTTGTGTACAGCGGGGTGGTGTGGAGGCCACTGCATGGAACAGAAGTCAGATGATCCACGGGGATGTTCTTCAGCTTCTGTTTTCTTTCATTCTCTACACATGTTTCCTCAGCTCCCACTCCATGCCAAGGTGCTGTGGCAGGCACCTTGGTGAAGCAGACCCTGCCCACAGGGAACTCCCTGTCAAGCTTCTAGAACCTAGGCTCTTCGTCACTGTGTTTTGTGTCTCTGCAGCATACTTGACCCCACTATTTTTTTGATGCCCTTGAGGGCAAGAATGGTTTCTTACTCTGCTTTGATAGAACAGTGTCTGGAATGAATCAGAGCTCAATAAACATATTGAGTTGAGCAAGTCATTTAATTTATATAGACAAATAAGTGACTTTCAGAGGCTCAGAGGTAAATTGATAGATAGTATAGACCAGTCTGGAAGTTTCAAGAGTTTCCCATGTCCCTGCTCGTCCATAATATTGGGCCCTCCATCTTTATGTCCTTTCCTCCCACAGAAGGCCCCCTTGGCTTCGGCCATCTGAGCCTGGGCCTTGCCTGTCAGTCAGTAGACTCCTTGGTCTAAGCTGGCAGGACAGGGAGTAGAGAGGGAAGCCCCCTCAAGAGCTGGAGCAGCCAGGGGAGTGTCATTGAGAAAATTGTCCCCAGCCTCTTGGGCTTACACATCCTGGGCTCCATTATGGCCATGTGATTTTTATATTCTTGGCTCATTAATAATTCCAGGATTGGAGTACCCCCCACCCTGTAAGAGGCTTATTCCTTCTGCTCACACTTGCCTTGCTCCCCCTTTTCTTGCCCCCCCCCCACTTCTCTAAATCAAATGCATGATGGGGGGAGGGGACAGAGAAGCAGCTGTCCTCTGAGCACATTCCCTGAAAGTGTCCCCTTTGATTTTGATTTAAGGAAATACGTGGATGTGGTAGTTGTTGAAAGCAGAAGGAGTCCTGTTTTCAGACCAGGGTTTCCTCTCCCCCTGGGTTATTGCCTTTTGCCTTGGTTGCCATACCTCACCTCATACAATGATCACATTCACAGAGACTGGGTTGTGTCTCATCACCTGACCGCCTGATAATCCACCTCTGGCTTCATGTCTTCTCACTCCAACAGCACCAGCCTGCTTGCTGTTCTTCACACATACCAGCCTGCCCCAGTCTCAAGGCCTTTGTGCTGTTACTTCTGGAACATTCTTCCCATGGCTGATTCCCTCACTCTTGAGATTTCAAGGCTTTCCTTAAATCTCACTTTCTCAAAGACTCAGATTTGTGGTATTTGACTATTTCCATGCTGTAAATACTCCTAGCACAGTTGATTTCATGCTACCAAAGTGACCTTAACCAAAAATTTCTGAAGTTTTAACAGTTGGTTCTGACAAAGCCCACATGATTTGGCACTTGTACACTGCTGTGTCTGTGACCCATGCCACAGTTTGGGAAACACTGCTCGGATAAAACCTTTTCAAGAAGAAAGGTTTTCCTTACGCTGGATTTAATCAACCTCTTATTGATTTGGTTTGTTTGTTCAGTGGGAATAGATGTTTGTTCCTGGTTAAGGAACATTTTCCTCTTCAAAGCGGGGGTAATAGCTAGCTTTGCTAATGTGGTCATCATAAAAATAGTGGACAGTAATGGTCTAATAAGGGACTATGGTGAATTATCAAATGTGTCAATTAATAAGCAGCAATTTGTGCATCTCTCGGAAATTATACTCATTGCTCTTATTTGAACAGAGAAGTCTCCTTTTGGCTAGGTGGGCCAGAGTCTGCTAGAGTCAACATCTAGATCACCACCCACTCATCTAGGTGTTGGTGCATTTCCAACCAGTATAAAATATATGTAATATGCTCTAGGTTTGTGCTATTCCTCATTTGTTGTTTATTCTGCAGTTTCTGTAGTTGTTAAAAAAGTACTTGTGGTTTTATATCCTGCCCCTCCTCCACAGACATCCACACACTCACGCATGCACAGACACATAAGGACTCTTCTTCCCATCCCTTTCAATCCAGAAATAAGAAAGTAAAGAATGTAGTATTTATTGATCACCTATTATGTATGAAGTTATATACTTCATGTTAGGATCTTCCCATACATGATCTCATTGTATCCTCTCTCCAACCTTAGAAAGAAACTATTTTCCTCTGCTTTACCAAGGAGGGAATAGAAGCTCAAATAGGTTAAGAAGTTGGGTCAAATTTGCACATAAGAGAACTAGGATTCAGGCATAGCGTTTCTTTAAGTCTCAAAACACATTTTTTTCCTATAAGAACTTTTCACCAACATGTATTAAGAGATGGGAGTTGTTTTGCTCACTACTCACTTTCTAATTTATTTCTGCTGATTTTTATAAATATTTCTTTCAAAAACTTAAAGGTGGGTATCTGTTTTAGGCCGCCTACACCCAGGCATTGGATTGTCAAATTGAAAAAGAAAAATCTAAAAGGAAATCAGTGTCATTTCATGCCTTTTAATAGGTAAATAGTTAAAATTATGTGTGTGTATTCGAGTGTATAAAATGTTAGCACTTACCTTAAAAGTAAATTTTATAGATGTGTTATGGATACTGTAAAAATGTGCTGATATGGCTTTGGGAGTTTTATACTATTTATACTATTTTTGCGTATGGGAAAACCACGTGCATCATTAGGCACTGAGCTCAGGGTCCTGCGACAGCTCTGGAAGAACCTGGGCCCTCTTTCCTATTTAAAGCACCAGGTACTATGGGAATCACTAGAGTAGCCTGGCTCCTAGTCAGCCATTCATCAATATTTGTGAAGTAAGGTGCAATGTTTTCCTGACACTGCCCTAATCTTTCTCTTCTTTCTGCCTACCTCCCTTCTCCCTGCAGGTCTTTTTCTGGAGTCCTGAGAGGCAGGTTATGGGCAGGACTGCCTCTGGCCCGCACCATGAAGCCTGAACCTGCTTCGGCTCTGCCCTGGGCCCTGCTCTGCCTGAGCACTCAGCTTTGGGCTTCCCCGCTCCCTGCAGCCCCCTGCTGCTAGGAGGTAAAACTTCAGGACTGGTCCTTGGCCTGTTTCTGCCTTTCACCTGGCTCACCTCACCACTGCTCACGCCTCCTCCATCACGGCACCCCCACCCCAGTCCTCTCCCCGGCCTCCCTGGCTGGGGCGTTTGGGGGTCTGTTGGGAGGAGTGCATTGCTGAAGCCTTCCACCCACCGTGTACCTTCTCCTCCTCGAAACAAGGCCTCCGGATCCACATGGGTAGCTGAGATCTTTTCTTGGAGGACACTTGGCTCCTCACTCTAGTCCCCCACTTTCCCACCTGACTTTCCACCTCTTCTGCTGCCCTGCCTTCTCCTTCTGCCTCTTTGTTGAATTTCTTGCTTGTGCGCTCATCTGGGGCTGTCTTTTCCACTTTCCTTCTTCCTCACCCTCTGGATATTCGTGTGTGCGCGCCTCCGTCCTCTGTGTGCTCTCTGTCCCTCTTCCAGGCCCATCCCCTTTTCCTCTGTCCCTTCTGCTGACAAGCGGGGTCGTCCCCTGAGGCCGGTTTCCCCGCCCGTCGTCGGTTCCTCCGGGATCCGTCCTGGCAGCCACAATGAGCTTCGCCGCAAACTCGGTTTTCTTCACCCTGAAGGTGAGCGTCCTGCTGGGGTCGCTGCTGGGGCTCTGCCTGGGCCTTGAGTTCATGGGCCTCCCCAACCAGTGGGCCCGCTACCTCCGCTGGGATGCCAGCACCCGCAGCGACCTGAGCTTCCAGTTCAAGACCAATGTGTCCACGGGGCTGCTCCTTTACCTGGACGACAGTGGCGTCTGTGACTTCCTCTGCCTTTCCCTGGTGGATGGCCGTGTGCAGCTCCGCTTCAGCATGGACTGTGCGGAGACCACGGTGCTGTCCAGCAAGCAGGTGAACGACAGCAGCTGGCACTTCCTCATGGTGAGCCGCGACCGCCTGCGCACGGTGCTGGTGCTCGACGGCGAGGGCCAGGCGGCCGAGCTGCAGCCTCAGCGGCCCTACATGGATGTGGTCAGTGACTTGTTCCTTGGCGGAGTCCCCGCGGACATACGACCTTCTGCCCTGACGCTTGATGGAGTACAGGCCATGCCCGGCTTCAGAGGATTAATCCTGGATCTCAAGTATGGCAACTCAGAGCCTCAGCTTCTGGGGAGCCAGGGTGTCCAGTTGGATGCCGAGGGACCCTGCGGTGAACGTCCCTGCGAAAATGGGGGGATCTGCTTTCTCCTGGATGGCCACCCCACTTGTGACTGTTCCACCACCGGCTATGGAGGCAAGCTCTGCTCAGAAGGTAAGACCTTCTCCCCGAGCCCTCTCTTACTAGAGACCCACCCACTGGGGTGGGGTGAGGGCCAAGACCCTTGACAGAAACCAACACTGCAGTGGAAGGCCATCTTTAGTTATGTGTTAGATAATCCAGTCCCTTTCCCTGAGGAGGGGGTGGAAATCCTTTGATTGCTCTCAATAGGAAACCCAACAGATCTCAGCAAGAAGAGGATCCTGGCTACTCAGTCCTGGGCTCCTTTCTCAAAGGGCTAGCTGGAGTAGACTGCAGGACGTGGGCCCCAGCTCAGCTCCTTCCGTTGGAGCGCAACTTAGCAGGGTCAGCACAGAGCAAGAAATCCAATAGAAATGGGCAATGTGGCTACCTCTGTCCCTCCTGATCCCTTGAGAGTTGGACCCTTGGGATGGATGGGAAACTCCCCATCATTTCCTCCTTAACCCCCAGGATGAAGAATGCCTATGCAAAGGAGAATGAGGGTGGATGGAGTGCAGGCCATGCTTGGCCCGCTGTCATCCCAGCCCTTCCGCTGGCTCCTCCTCCCACAGTCTTTGGGGGAGGTGTCTGGAGGGTGGATGAGGCAACTGGGGATGGGCCTACTCAGCACCTTGTTCTAGCAGCAGGATTTTTCATATGAGGTTCTTCTTTCCTGCCCTCCCTTCACCTCTCTGTGTACTGAGAATGGTACAGGAAAACATGGAAACTGACAGGACCCTTGTCCAGTCAAGCACCTGAGGGCGCTGGTAATACTCAGCATAGCCTTGGAGAGGCTCCCCTCCCAAGTTCAATTACAGCTTCCCAGGGAGAGGGAAGGGGGGACTTATGCCCAAAGACTTAGACTGCCTTCACCTCATTCACCGAATTCTGACTGTTTGGGATTACATGTGAGAGGAAGTAGTCTAGCCTCTACTTTGACAAATACTTAAAATCCGGATTCCTGGACTCCGGGACTCACTGAAGGCCTAGCTTCGAGCAGGAGGGAGTGTTGAAGTGATGAAGAATGTGAGAACTGACCACAGGGGTATGTGTGCTGGGAGGCTGGGATGGGGAAGAGGTAAAGAAATTTGATTTTCTCCTATTCTTTTGGAGTCAAGCCCAGGATTCTTCTAGAAATGTGTTGCCATCCCATGCTGGTCTCTCCATGGAAGTGGTGGGATGGTGTAGGGCAGAACAGTGGTTCTCAACCTTGGCAGCAGATATTAGGATCACTTAAGGAGTTTAAAAACTCTCGGCCCACCTTATGGACCAGTTCAATCAGAATTTTGGGGGGCATGGGATCCAAGCATCTGTATATTTTTAAACTCCCCAGGTGATTCTATTGTGCAGCCAAGATTGAGAAGCAATAGGACAAGGGAGGTCAGTTAAGTGGGGCCAGGTGTGTGTCTCAGCACTGACTCCCAGGGTTTCTTCCTTTTGGTGAGGCCCATGCCTTGTGGTTTGTAATTAAAAATAGCATCTGCAGTTCCTGAAACCATCCCACAACAGACCACCCAGCATAAAGCAGGTTGTAATTGATATGAAATTTAGCCGTAATTATTAAAAAATTTTTTTAAATCAAAGCCAAGTTTATTTCATAGGTGGTACTTGCTGGAGACTAGGACACCTTGAGGGGTCTTGTTGGAGGCCCCTTCGTAGGTCATGTAGGGGCTACTGTGGAAGCCCTCCCCAGGTATCTACGGCTGCTTTCCCGGGCTGGGCTGCACTGGGCATTGCATCTCCCTTCCTGTGGGTGGGCTGCAGGAGAGGGAGAGTCAAGACATGCATGCCACCTTTTTTTGGCTTTTCTCCCCCACGGAGCCCATTAGAAAAGCGGATGGGGAAGAGGAGCCGAGGCAACCCCAACCCACAAAGCCACTTTGGGAATGTGGTTATTGAAGCACTTCTTAGAAGCAGGTGCCTTCTGGAGCTCACTGCTGTTCCAAAGCTTCTTGGCTTTGGAGAAAGTTCTGCCCGAAGACGCTGACATGATCACTTGTTTCCTCCTTCGCCCAAAGGATCTGTTTTGTTCTCAGAACTTGCATTGAAAGCTGGCATTCTTCCTTTCTAGGGACTAGGGTGTTTGCAAGTGTGTTGTTAACTTGCTGATTATCCCTGATTGCATTTTTTGTGTTTAAAAAGAACTCATTTCCTCTGGGCAGGTCTGGATCAGCACTTTTCTGCAGGAAGAATCTCTATGCTGTATATGTGTACAATTTGTCTTCTCTCTCTTTTAGGGTGTGTGTGTGTCTGTGTCTGTGTGTCTGTGTGTGGCTGTGTCTGTGTATGTTTCAGGTCTCTCTCCAGCGGCATTTCTTTAGAGCAGATTGTAGGCAGTCAATTTTTTAATAGCTAAATACAACATGGATATTTTAATAATAGTTCTTTCTGCAGGGTTCCGATCATCTAGTGACTGTGGATTGATACCTCTGCCTGAAGAAGGCAAACACACAGCACAGCTATTTATTCTCCTGATACATTAAATAGAGTAAATGAACTCTGTAGTAACAGTAACACTTGGTTGGCTTGAAACAGAGCAGTGCAAAGGTTGAGGTGAGGGTGGATGTTGGGAGAGGTATCAGAATTTACTGTTGATAACTTAGAGCCTGTTGATCCTGGTAATTGTTATCATGTCGAATCAATCACAAAAATGCATCACAGGCTTTTAGAAAAGATCTGTCTCTCCACACATAGTTAATTCTTAGATAGTAGGCAGGGATGGGGTGGGGGGAGGATACTCAATTGTAAAATATTAAGGGGAAAAAATTACAGCAACTGCTAAGTGCAAGTAGATCTTGCACAAAACAAGATAAATAGCCTAAATAAATGCCTCCACATTTTCCTAAAGATGATTTGGTGAAGTGGGTAGTGAGGATGCATCCATTCCCTACCCTGCCCACTTTCAGCTGCACATGTTATAGACCTGAAATCAGGGTACTTATTCCATGGACCAGGCATCTGATTGTCTCGGTTTGTAGGATAGGCCTTGACGTTTGATCATGTGAGGCTTGTACCCAGGATGGAAGATACATTTTGTACTTCATGCTTTAGCAGTTCAGGAGCAGGAAGAGCTGGGAGGGCTCTTGCAGCTTTAGATGGATGTGGTCGGGGCCTGTTGGAGGTGCTCTCTGGTCCATTAGCTGCTAGCATGCCCGCGGCATTGATGTTTGCTTGGCCTGTTTCCATGCCTTGACGGCTCCAAAATGTCTCCGTGCTTCACCCTGGGAAGAATGCACAGATGGGCCCATCTCCTTTATATGCTCTGGGCTGTTTTGATCCCCCAGTGGGTATTTCTTTAGGAAAGACCCAGAAGACACCAGAGATAGCTGTCGTGAGCAAGTTGAGCCTGGAGGGTCAGAGGTTGTGGACTCAGTATCTTCTTTCATGTGGTGAAATGTTACTCACTATGGCTACAGGCAGAACTCCACACAGCCTGCTTGAGAAGACTTCATTCGAAGGCTCCCAACCTAATTAAGGGTCACATTGAACATTCTAGCACGTGATGGAGAAGAGATCCCAGTTTTACTTCTAGGTGTTCTGTTTATAAATAAAATGTTTTGGTGTTCAACTTCAGACTTGTTCATGTTGACATTTAATCTTGCCTTTTTAGTAAGGGTCTTGGAGGACAGAAGAAGTGCAGATAGTTCAAAATGGTTTTAAAATTATGCGTATCTGTTTTGGAAGATAGTCAGGCTACAGCATCTTCACTGGTTTTGGTCTAGCCCAGTCTGTCCTGTTATGGGTAGCCTGGAATCTCACTGGGCAATGAAGAGGTATCCTGAGCTCCCCCTAGAGAGCCATCCCCTCACAGGTCATTGAGAGTTTATTATTACCTTGAAATGAGTTTAAAATTGATTGTTTATTTTTAAACCATTCTTAGTTATGAATGTGCCTGTATTGAATTTCTTAACAATCTTATGGTCATGAAGAATTGATTTGCTCCCAAGGTGTGTACATTTCAGTACCACTCTTACTGAAGAGCTCATTTAGTGTGACATCAGCCTGTTGCCTGTGGGGTAGGGCCAGGGAAAGAAGGAGAAGGCATCACATGTTGATTTCTCCTTCCAAGTCTCATTACGTGGGCTTACCTATGTCACATACCACTTGTGTGTCCACATTTTTAGGTTCATTCAGTGAGGAGGCATGAGGTCTTATTCAGTTGGGGGAAAAAAAGTTCATTGTTTGCTCTCTCTTCCTGCTGCCTTGGGCAGGTGCCCAGACCAGAAGCTGCTGTCTTGAGTTTCAGCTCTTAAGTTTTCAGGTGTTTCGATCCCACAGTGAGGTACAGGGGTGGGTGTCAGTGGTAGGGGCCAGAGCCTTATTACAAGCACATTGCTTGAGTGGTACCCAAGGGCCTCCCCTTCCCATCCCTGACATCCTACCCAGGTTGGTTGGATTGATGACTCAACACTGCCATGTGGCCTTGGTATGCCGTCCTGAAAGTGAGTTTCAATTACTTTTCTTTTTATTGAGAATTTTGTGACTTTTTCCGCATTTATCAAAGCCAGAACTGGGATGGAATGGTATACCAAGAGACTGCTTGCCCCTAAGCATTTACCAAGAGCCAAAGACAAAGGGTGCTGGCACCAGTGATGGCCCCAGCTGATCCTTCTGTTCTGGGCATTTGTGTAAAAACACAAACATCTCTTCTCCCCCTCCCCAGTGCGCTTCCAGCCGGAATTGTAACATGGCATTGTTGTTCCTAACCTGTGTCGACCCTGCCTGGCCTGGGGGTGGGGGCTGCAGGGGAGTGGTAAGTAATCAGAGAGTAAAGACTGTCTCCTTGCAGAATCCTTCTCCCTGGTGGGGAGACGGCAGCCCAGAAGGGAGGCCTTACAACAAGCACAAAGGAGAACTGTGGCTTCGAGACTGGGTTCCCACCCAGCATTCAGGCGTTAGGTGCGACCAGCCCAGCCAGCCAGCAGGGGCTGTTGCTAAACGGAGCCTGAATAGGGGTCTGATTGCTCCTTTTTCCTCCTCTTCTCCTGATTACCAAGTGAGATTTCCTGGGTAGGCTGTATGCTAAATGGCAG